ATATATGCTTATAAAAATCGAATTTGGAAACAAATCTGAACTGATCTGAAAAACCGGATACAAAAAAACCCAAATTTACCAAATCTGGATCAGATTAATCCGATCGGTCAGATTAGAACCAAATCCATATCCTACGCCCCAATCATATTTTGCCGTAGGTCAACAATCGGATTCACCCATATTTACTTCTAAATCCACCAAAACGTTAGGTCAAATCAACCTCAAATAAGATCAAAGTTCTTTGAAACTAGATTAGGATTAAATCCAAATCCACCCTAAAATCTGGACAAATCCATATCAGATTATAGTAAGATCGGATTTGGATTTTATGAACCACTATTACTATCTTCATTTATTGTTTTCTAAAGACTTTGTTTGTCGCCTACTACTAATATATAGCACCAACATATTAGTATTCATTGGGACGTAAATAAATGTTTGGATCATTATCAATTACATCTATTTGCAGTATATAATTGTTGTATTTTAATGGTTTTAATATTTCCCTTTGGTATATCTCCATCACCCAAAACGTCATCAAATGCACTAGTATCAATGTTTCCTTTGGTAAACCATTATCACCCCTAGCTTTTTCTATTTTTACTGGTTACAATTTAGGCCAATGCTATTTGTCTGTCACCCCTCACTTTATCACTTAAAGTGCCTTATATGATATGGGATTATGCAAAACGCACAATACACTTGGAGTAGTTATAGTAGTATCTCTTTCATCTTTATCAGGTACATCTAAATCTTGTTGGAAATAGGTGTCCAATGTCATAACTAATTGGTATGTTTTTGGGAATAATAGCAATGTCCTTTTTGGGTTGCCCTCAAGAGCAAGAATTATGAGAAATAGATGTAGGAGAACAAGATAATACTTTATTAATTTATTATAAGATTAATAAATTAATTAGAAACTAGTTCAAATTAATTAGAATTAATTTGTAATTAATTTACCAATCAAATAAGAAGATCTCAACTAACAAGGTTGTTATAATAGTAAAACTTAGATCCTAGGGTACATGTACATTAAGGATAATGTTTGCATAGAAAACCCAACAAATCTGATTTCTACTAAATAACCCACCATTATTTTCTTTTAATTTTGATCATGTTTAATTGAGAGAAAAGAAAACCATCCTTTGTATTCTCTATTATGAACTTGGATGTTAGGGACATTAAATATGTGTGAATTCATGTTTGGCCATGATTAATGTTTTCATTATTCTCTTTGGGTCCTCTAACATATCTCCCTAACTTTACTATATCTTGGTCATTTCCGTATTGTAATAAAGCAGAGTCTAGTCCCACTTCCGTATT